TTTAACATGCAGACGCATTACCCATCATCTGATTGGGAAATTCGACGTGTGCACGCTGGAGTACTCTCGCGGATTTCAAGTGCGAACCCTGACTGATGCAACTTTAGAGACTAGGCTTTTCCGATGGGTCCAAAAACGACAGAAACTGATAGTGTCCTTCTAAATGTTTTCAACAACCTTACAGGTGGTGATTTGTCGAGGTAAACAATTTGCTTCTTTAGCTTTTACTTATTTTTTTTATTTCGTGACCCTCGTACTGTCCGCAGACACCGAAACGGGGCACTGAAGGCTGTCTCTGCTGCCTGTTAAGTTTAATGAGCACTCCGATTGGACTGATGGTTTTGTTTGTTTTAAACAAAGGTGGACAACCTTATCTGTAAAAAATGCGCCAGATACAAAAAAGTAATTCCCCCAGGAATGATTCGTACGACCAGGGAAGCTTCCATGTTTGAGGTTGTCACCTTGGTAACCAGTCAACAAGTTGTGTTAATTTCGTGACTGAAGGCTAAGTGACTTCCTACCCTGTAGAATTACGAGCTGCTCAAACTGCTAATCAGGTTCTCGTCATCGAACTGTCAAGCATACAACCTATGGCCGGAAGAAGGTGAATTCGAAACACTTTGAACTTTCAGGAGGTATATACTGCTGATGATTCCCCATAGAAATGAAAGGGCTATACAGTATTTCTCGACCTTTTAGCACAGATTTCCTTCACCTAAAGGAAGAAGTCTCCATAGGAAAACGATTCATTCAGAAGGAAACCGTCATGCTTTCTTCGAGTTAAGCAACCTGCAAATACTAATCTTTGCTAGAAATATCGGACCCAAGCGGCAATGGATATCTCCGCAGTTGGGAGCATAGTGAGCGCGCACCCTTAAGAGACACCAGCCTCCTAACTGGTCTGCTGCTCATAGGGGGTAATCCCCTCTCTCTTAGGTTATTTATTAGCCAATACGAGCTAAGCAGTTACAAGCGATGAGACAAGAAACAAAACATCTCCTATGCACAAAGTTTTTTTAAAATTTGGACATTCTTATGTGTCTTCTTGTAGCAGTAGTAGACGACAACAAAGCAGCTCCACAATTTATCGAATAGACTTCTATCAGATGCGTGGGCGCAGATTGGACACCAGACCATAGACTACTCGCATGGTTCATCAGTAGTATACACCGTTACACCGGTAGTTATTTTTGCCGAAGTTCTGTTTTGACGCTTACAAAAAAGGCTTGTATTTTCCTAGACAGTTGATTGTGTTCCGACGTAATGTGCACCGATTTTGCACTTTAAAAATGTCAACGGGGTTATTGTTTGTGCGCTAGTGTGTCCGTTATAGCACCGAGCCCATCTGGGACGGCCATTCTCGATAGGCCCAATTATGGACGACTATAGAGTCACTTGACTTAATAATACTCCCAAAGCCATTATTTCCACTAACGTCACCTTGTTTCTCCAATTATACACCTCTGTCAGGTTTTTACCAACTTCTCACAGTTGCCTATAAGGGGCGCGGAGTGGTACAACAGTTGATGATGGTGAATATAGGTCACTTAAGTAGTCTAATCTCTGGAAACCAATTCATTCCTAGTAAATATTCATTTTCGTTCTGAATGCATGCTTATTACAAATTATTATGCAATACATGGACGGTATCAAATCGCATATCCTCAGACAGCAATGATAGACAACAACCTCGAATCTCTGACCGAACTCGGTCGTACAGAAAATATGGGGACGCGTCGTACTCAGCTGACGCTTAAAAGCCAGTTAAATCTAAGCTCTAAGAATACCAGGAACAGCAAGGTGAGTTAGGGACGTCCAGTTTGTTACAGAATTAGAAAAAACCTCGTTTCGTAAGCTACACGTTTCATCACTACATAGGTAAAATGTACGTACCTAATAAACCTGTTTCTTGGAAGACACATGGCTAAGAAGTGCCTGGGGGCAGTCGTAAAGGCCAAGAAAGTTTGATCGAAACTTTATCTTGTAGGTAAGCCGGTCTATACACTGAATAACTGATAAGAACTCTAGAACGTTCGGATCCTTGTTCGGATGGTTCAACCTGTGACCTCCAGTCTAGCAATCTGAGACTACATCGTTCAGCCACGACTGCATGGTCGCCAGTATGAGTAACTCGCCAGTAGATACTACAAAGTGCAGCATGAAGGTTTGATTGGACTTAGAATATTTTATTGATTCATTTTTTGCAGTGATTGAGGTGCTGTTTGGTCCACCTTGTACATTACTATCCGTCTTTTGGTCTATACAACTGACGAGACCTGAAAGCGGCGTTTAAGTGGGCGTGGCGTAGCTGATGAAAGGTTGGTATGGAACCGTTTTGCATTACTTGTTCATCATCGTTTAATGTTCAAAGAGCATCCGTGGAATTTCAAGACTACGCTCTTAGGAGAATGCCCAAAAACTGTCCAAGTGAGTTTATTTCCAGTTTCGCTCCTAGTAGCTTGTGAACGCTTAGTTTGTGTTAATTGACAAAATAAATCCGCACTCTGGGGCGCTAGTCCTTTTATCCGTACCCCCTGTGTACAGTTGTGTGTCTTGGAAATTCACTATATACCAATCAGGTCTCGTCCACCATTTGTAACGTAACACAGCTGTTCATACCATCAAGCAGCTCCAAACAGCACAGAGATGAGTCACGGTTTTGTCACTGGTCGTGTCACTAGAATTATTGCTCCGAAACTGTCGGCGTTTCAGGAATAAAGCGAGACACTTCACTTAGTCAGCAAAGCCCATCTAGAATTTTAGGACATGGGGCAGACCGCTTTTAAAATTAGACTGCAGGACAGGTTTCAAGCTTCACCGGAGCGCAGCCTGGTGTATTTGTAGCTGGTCACTTGAAATGCTGTGAATTATCTTTGTACAGTGGAAACCAAATAATTTTATGGCTCAGTTCGCGCGTTAACTTTTCCGAAATGTAGTTACTGTGATGTATGGCATGGGCGAGACGGCTGAATGGTTGGAGCGCAAAATTACTGATCGGAAGGTCCGTGGTTCGAACCCGACCTCTGCCTCTCGACTTCCCCTGCCTAGACTTGGGCAACCTGGCAGTACCACAGCCGTCGTGCTTCCTTCGAGTGGCATGGCAGTTAGGCACCGGAAGGGTGCTACAGCTGAACTCTGGCATGGTCTGCGTTGAGCATCCAGCTAAATTTTCGCACTTGACACCAACCTGATTAACGGCTGTCCACATGTCTGGTCCTTCTGTCTATAATGAATCAGCGCTACTGGGGAATCGGCTTCGAGTATTCAAAACACACTGGTACATCGACGACGGAGGTTGTTTTGTGTACTTTTATTTATAATAGGGCACAGTCACTTTTTTTCGCCAAGCATCACTTCAAACTTTCAGAAAATGGATGGGTGCTGTTTTCTTGCAGATCAGCCGAGAAACTGTGGTCACGTGTTTAACAGTATCGTTTCATTCCGTTTGCACTTGATACCTGTGAAAGAAGGCCTTATCTGGGCAGTTAGTTATTAGAAAATGCCAACTGACCAGTTACAGACTATTGGACAGGTAAGCAAAACTCTCATTTGCGAAAATTGAACATCCATCTTCTCCTTGAACGCGTCTTCCTGAACGTTTCTGGTTATTCACTGACTGTTGCTCAAATCCAAGTAAATGCTACAAAGCGGCTACAAAAATTCCGCAATAGACCTCCTTTTTCCAAGAAACGTAAAGAGAATTTACAAGAAACCATACTACTCGCATGCCTCCCCGTCAGTAGTATCACCGTTACGCCTGTACTGATGTGTCTAGACCACGGCAAACCCAACACCTGGAAAAATGGTTCCGAAAGCACAATGCAAGCCTGCAGAGAGGTTTTCAGCTGTATTCATCATCCGGATTCTTGCCAATCCTTGACGGTCTTCATGGATGACCTTGAGGGTAGTTTCGATTTCCACGTATTGCGTTTCACGTACTAGGCGGGCCGAAGCCAAGCTGCATGCTTATGCATTGCACGAGACCTGCTGCTAACCGGAATGGGATTTGTTCAGTTTTTCAATCGTTTTGTCCACCCGTAATGGAGACAGTCACGGAAACGAGCAAATTATTTTTGGACCATGAGACGTGGGTGTCTGTACGGACAAATACTCGACCATGTGCCCCTTTATCTAGCGGGCGTAGATAGACAGGCCTTAGTGGTATTACTGCACTCGGTTTCATAGGTCATTTTAAGGAACTGGCAAGACATTCGTTGGCACGAGGGCTATTCATGTATAGTCAGGCGCACCTCCCATGGGGTCTTTGTTCTGTTGGGAAATGATTTTTAAGGTATGTCAAGATAAATCGGATGTGAAACATTGAAAAACTGGGGTTCTAGAGGACCAAGTAAAACATTACCTGCTCAGAAGTAACACCCGTGGGCTAATTTTTATTCGAAACAATAAATACTAATCGTCCAGCTCCAACACCCTTTCCGTGCCTAGCCGCCACACCATCCGAAGGACACACGACGACTGAGATGCTGCCAGGTTGCCCCAAAGCGGAGAGTGAGTTCGAACCATGGACCTTCCGACTGGTACGTCTGTGCCTTAACTATTGAGCTGTCTCCAGCTAAAATAATTGTTTCTCCAATCAACTGGAAAATGTTTGGGACCGATTGGGAAGTCATCGTTTCAGAGGGGTTTGGTAAACAATCGGTGGATTTTTCGAAAGCTTATCGTCGTTTTCCAAAATAATTTTGAAGTTGAATGAGAAAAAAGCTTTGTCATCAGTATTCGGTCCATTTGAACTACCTACTTGTGGTCCAAATGGATTTTTATGGAGGTCGTAAAGTAATTGCGCTCTTAAATCCATTGCGTATTCTAGCTATTGGTACTCGTAATGACCAATAAAAAAAATCAATATATTGGGTGCCCAGAGTACAGTCCTATCGGGATTATTTTATTTTTATTTTCATTAGCAACCTACTCGTGAATTGTACACCTGAATTTAAACACTTCTGCACACAAAACTTATTGTCACTTAGCAATATTCTTACCAGTTGTAGTTCCTCAAGGGTTCCCAACCAGTCATCAAGTTCCGTTAAATCCACGTCTGTATCCATTTCGGTTCACAATGTCTGGCATAAATCAGAATTAAAGGTGTGCAAAATAATTCCTTTGCATGGGTGCATCAGTTGGATACTGGTTAGCGCTGACCTCATGATGCCAACCTGCCAGCCATGCATCGCGTGTTTGGCAAGCACATATGCGGTGGTTTCAGACAGGCCGCGAGTCACACACGCCTGTGACGACCGGCTGAGGCAGCCGGTGGTCGATTGGCTAGATTGACCAATCACAGTCAGGAGGTATACGGTGCTTCCGATTGGTTGGCTTTTCACTGCCGAATGGATGCATATACCTTTCCACGCTTGAATGCGTCTGCTGGCGAGATTGTTGGTGTATCACGGTGACAATGGATGCGAATGGTACAGTGAGAACTTGACTGTAATTTTTTCGCGTTGCTTTGTGTTGGCCGACTCATCACTTCTGAAAGGAACTTGAGACATGGAATAAAAACGAATGACCTAATACATACTCCATCGGAATTGGATAGGTTTATAGAGCCAATGTAATAAGGTCTTTCTGCCGAAAGTTTTTGAGCCTCATTCGGGACCGAACTCTCCCAGTGAGAGAATGCAGGTTATCGGGAAACCAGCTAGATCATTGTCACGGAGGTTCACGTGATGTGCGGCGTGATTTGAGAAAGCTCTATCAGAATACATGTGAGGTGTCTATGTTGCGAATACCAAAAGTTTTCCTAGAGTAAACGTAAGCCATAGACATTTAGATTCACTGTTACATTAGAGACAGCTAACTTCCAAAAACGTTCCCCAGTCGTACGGCCTCCAATCCTAACATTCAGGAAATATATATGTAAACAGATACCGTCAGTTTTGCCTGTCTTGTTGCTGCCCACAAAGTACACACCGGATGAACTTGTTACACTCGCTATTCACTCATATTAAGCTGGCTTTTCGCCAGCCGTTCAGGACAGATTGATTATTTCCTCATCAATGGTCAGAAGCGCGTTATGCCAAACGCTCCTAAGAGTGCCGTTTTAGCTCCAAATTTTTGCTCAAACAAGTTCAGCTATAGTCGTTCTCCGAATAGCTGATAGAACGGTACTTTGTGATGTCTTATCTAGTCATTTTTTAAGCGATTCTATCTGTCTGACAACTCAAATCAGACAACCAATTGACTGACAAATGCACTCATTTGCATTCCAATCAGGTTTTCACGAGAGACTCGAGAGACTCAACTGAACGTCCGGTTAATGATATTCTTCAACCGAATGTGCCACATAGATGCAGCTCCATGTTTCAGTTGTCACGATATGTGAGATATCGCACTGTTTTCAGGGAGGAAACTACTCACAAGGTCGCTGAAAACTCCTGGACAGACCACGACCGATTTGACCCTTCTTGAGGTTCATTAAGTATGCGCACTCCCCGAGCTTCCATTAAACTTATGTACTATCTGAAATAGACAGATTTAGACCAATGCCGTCATTTGCATATGAATTCAGTTTCGGTATGAAGCTTAACTGAACATAGCTGATGCTTCGCTTTAACTGAATGTGTTTTATCAGTCCGCCTCATGTTTCAGTTGCAAAGACACTCAACAAATCGCAATACGTTATTGTCTAAATGTAACACACTACTCATAAGGTTGCTGAAAATTCGTCGAAAAAATACAAACGGTTTCACACTTCTTGGAGGTATGCAAGTAGGCGTGGTCCTCGAGTTTCCGTCAACTTTATGTTCTACTTCAACCCACATTAGACTGACTTCAACAAATCCACTCATTTGCATACCAATTTGGGTTTCACGCGAGACACACCTGAAACCCAGCTGAATCTCTTGTTTATGATATCCAGGAAGAACATAAGGTTGACGGAGAATCGGGGCTGCCCCTTCCCAATGAGCCTCAAGAAGGGTGAAACCATTCGTGGGCTGTCGAAAAGTTTTTATCAACCCAGTTTCCTCTATGAAATCCAACCGACTGCTTTCGCTTCGCTAAATAAAGTTTATGATTTTGATTACTGGATCTCTCTCTCCAATCCAAGTAACCTGCCCGTTTGGATCCCTCTCACTTCTTTTTTTGCGAGTTCCTCGTCTGGTTTCATGCTCCGTTTAGAGGTACATAGTTCTTGCGTTCTCTTACTCATAGTGGTTGATAACTCAGGTCAATTTCACTTTGTTTGTTGAAAGCGTCTTCGGTGGAGTATCACGCTTCCATGAATTCGCGTTATTCTTCGTCCTCGCTTGAGCCAGCATGCGAACGCCACTCCCGTTGAACTGGTGTCCATCCTGATCTTGTACATGGAGATAGGAGGAAATTTATCGTGTCTTTTTTTAGCGAGCTTATATTCATGTATTCTGGTGGAGAGCTTCCTTTCTGTTTGTCCTATAAATCGTTTGTCGCATTTTTTTGCACTGGATCCTGTATATGACATTGTTCTTTATCATTGGATCTAGTTTTTCTACTTGGTTCGATAATGTCCGTCGCAGAGCGTTTGCAGGTTTGTAAGCCATCGTTGTGTTGTGCTGTTGTAAGAGCCTCGGGATCATTTCGGTGGTGTTTCTGATGTGCGTGGGTGTGGTTCCTTTTCTTATGTTTTGTGCCATTGTGTTTGTGGTATTCGGTTTTCTGAGTGATCTCCAAATGAAATTCCTTGGGTTGCCGTTTCTCTGAGACAATTTGCACGGACGTTTTTCTTCTTTATTCCTGTATTCCGTTGTGCTGCAGCGTGTTTCGATCCGTTTGAAGTGTCCGAATGCAGGTTCGTTCGTGACAGTTTGAGTGGTTGCTGTGGTAGCTCAGAATTCGGTCCGTGTACATATGTGACTGTCCGTTTGATAATCTAGTGATGAGGAAGTCCAGAAATGCCAGCTTTCCGTTGCCCTCTTCTTTGAATTTGAATTTGATGTGGTCGCAAACTTTGTTTAACAGCTGACTTACTGTTTGCAGTTCGTTCATGAAACGGATCCATACTTTGAGATTTATGGCAATATGACCTGTTCCAGGTCTTGAATCGTATTTTCTGCAATAATCCTGAAGTCGACTGCTCCATGGGTGTCCCTCGAAGTTGATTTGAATTACACTTGTCTTGTTACTTATAAATTGTTCTTTTTGGCGATAAAGGAAGTTTTTTGTGGGATTTCGTCCTGTAAGTGAAGTCAGTCTATGCTGAAAAGCCGAGAAGCAAGCACCAGCTGTTTCACCCTTACTGGGAATCATCAGCTGTGCGCATCTCACGAAACTCCAAAGATTCTCGAACCCGCGACCTCCCGGCTAGTAGTTTGAACACTTAACCGTACTCATTGGGTGAAGTTTATTCTTCCACTAAGCTACTTATATATTGTTGATAGTGTGAGGTCGCTGGTTCGAGACTCTTCGGAGTTTCGTGAGATGCGCACTGCTGATGATTCTCAATAAGGGTGAAACAGCTGTACAGTGCTTCTCGGCTTTTCAGCATAGATTGGTTTCACTTACAGGACGAAATCCCACGAAAATCCCAAATCTCCTCACACTACTAACGATAAAGTAAGTGCTATTGCGTTTTAAGATTGATAATTGATTAAACGATTCGCAGCGGTTGTTACTTCACGATCCCTTCGGTATGAACTGAAATTGGAAATCCCGTTGACACTTATCTCAATTGTTTGTGATTTCAAAATATTTGTTTAGTTCAAAGTATGTGATCGAGCAGTCCATAGTTGTTCCCTTTCTTCAGGGATCAGGTGGAAAGTCCACGACTGTCCAACGGTTCAGCAGAGTGGATATTCACAGGTGTGAACGGTGAAAGCGCATCAGATGAGACCATTATTTAGTCCTATCTTATGGTTCCGTCTTCTGATTTACCCAGAAATTGAATACTGCGACTTACTGGTGAGTTATTTGAAGTTTATCCAGAGCTCCTTCGAAACTTTGTATCCTGGGATATCCAGAATTGTTGCAACTGTTAGTCGGTTGGTATGCCATGAACTTTAGAGGGATATTAGGAGCGTGGGATATTCGAATACTACGCCGTCTTCCCCACTACCCTTCACTTGCTATCTCCGAACGTTCTGTGTGTCATTGTGGTTTTCTACTGATTCTTTTGCGAGTTTCTGGCTTGTAATTTCTCTAAAAGGCAAACCAGCGAATTCTGAGTGATACAGAGACGGTTTTTAGTGCAGTGGAAAGCAATTCTCCTAAAGTTTGCATCCAGAACTATGAATTAAGATCACTGGGCCATGTAACTTAGAAGTTCACAATGCAGAAGGAACTGAAGGGTGTTACGAGAAATTTGGACGCTCTTAGTGCTGTTCGCCCCCAAGTATGAGGTCCATGCTAACCGATGTCAGTAGCGTTCATGCAGCCGGAGTTTGTCTAAAATGGCCGGGTGTTGGAGATGTGGGCACCTCAGAGAGGAGTGGTAGTAATAAAAGGAAGAAAGCCTACGCTGCGGAGTCATTTATTAGAAAATGCTAAATGAATAGTGGCAAAATATTGGACAGGGAAGCAAAACTCTCATATGCATCTTGTTTACAAAAATTAAATATCCATCTTCTCCTTGAACGCGACTTTCTGAACTTCCTGAATATTCGTTGACTGTTGCCTAAATCCAAGCAAAACTACAAAGCGACTTCACAAATTCCGCAATAGATCTCACTTTTCAAGAGACGCGAAACTTTTTCTACAAGAAAACATACTACTCGGATGCTTCCCCCATCAGTAGTATTACCGTTACAGTAGTAGTAGAGTAATCCCAAGTCCTCCTCCTGGTTCTGTTTTTCTCCTTTCCATGATAGGGCTTTGTTTAAATTCAGTGACATAATTGTTTGGTAGAGAAGCATCGTTATTCGAATCCGGGGTGGCGTCAATGTTGATGGTTACAATATGGCGATACGTGATAATGTCGTTGAGTACGTTCTATCACTTTGCTTTTGTAGAAGATTTGCTTGTGATGAGCGCGGCGGTCCTTCTCCATCCCCATGACCACACAAGCAACTGTTTGAACCCCTCTAGTGAGGGGTAAAAGGCATTAGACCTTCAGGTGATCATCAGATGGCTACAAACTGAAAAGTCCTCATTCATCTTAGTTGGTGAATTCGTCTCCAGTGGAGCTGACGTAGTTAGTGGGCCGTTGTTCTGTGACCAAGGTGAGTTGAAGGCTGTTTTTGGCGATTAGTTTGAATTTGAACTTGCCAGTAAATGTTGAAAAAATTCAAT